AGAGAGAGACAGAGTGTGAGTGGGGGAGGGGCAGAGAGAGAAGGCGACTCGGGCGACACAAAATCTGAAGCAGGCTCCAGGCTCCGAGATGTCAGCACAGAGCCTGACGTGGGGCTTAAACTCACAAACCGCAAGATCATGCCCTGAGTGGAAGTCGGATGCTCCACCAAATGAGCCACTCAGGCACCCCGGCTTTTGAATACTTTTACACTTATTTCCATAATAGATAACATAAAGCCATTTAAGTAAGCCTTTACATATTTAAACTTTAAGAAAACATTAAAGACACGAATGAAAAACCTGTAAACATCGAAAAGAAAATGTATTCAAATCCCGCACTTCATTACACAGCACACTATTCTCTTAGGTCATATGGCAAATGAGAAATGCTTATCTTGTTAGGAATTTAAAGAATGTTCTATGGATAACAGAATTAAAATCTTCAATAGCTATGAAAAAAGTCTAACTGTACATGTTCTCTGCAGGCCGCTTCCCTGGGGCATAGTGATTCTGTGGATGTTCACACACAGAGCCGTCTGAGCACGTGCTGACTGCCTTGGGCAAGGGGTTTCGGTGGCTTTTCCAATCACCGATGCTTATAGCAGAGTTCCAAAAGCAAAGGACAACGTTGACGTAGGGAACTAATCAACAAGGAATCACAGAGTAATTTTTAATGATCTCTCATTCCTTCTGGTTAGATCAAGAAGAAAGTTGGTTGCTTTAAGTTCTAACTTAAAGCACACACTGCTTCCCTTTCTGATCAAGAAAGAGGGCTTTGATTGCCTTTATGGGCCATGAGATCCAGCTATAATTCAATAACACTGTGTTATTTTTAGCACACCTATTTTTATAGTTTCATTCTATGTATGGCAAATGATACGAATTTTCCACTTATCATGGTGGTGTGAAGTTTCTTTTCAAAATGAATGTATTTACAAAAAGGGGGGGGGCTTGATTCAAATAAGTAAATGGTAATTCTAGTGATTCACTAACATGGCCAAAAACCACTAGTTTAATGGTTAAACCACACAGAAACTGGAGAGTAATTAATGCCTTTCAGTAAAGGATTAAAAAGGAAAAAAAAAGCCTTGGCTGATTCCTCTCCAAACATACTCTACAAATGAACAAATGAAACAACTGAACAACTTATGTTAAAATATAGCAAAATCCTTAAAAACAGGCAATTTAAATCCAATTTTTTCTAGAAGACAATCCACTAAGCAGAATGGCACTGAGAGATCAGGAAAACATTCCAAGATCTAATTTTATCAGTTTTTTTCCCTTTCTTGTGCTTTATAAATGGGGTATATTAAGTTCCATAAATAGTGCTAAATCATTAAACTAAGACAACAGATTCCCTTTCTTTAAGAAAAGAACCAGTTATACTGTCAATTCTTTTCTTAGTACTACTAAATAACTCAAGAACAAAAATAACTCCTTTTGTAAAAATGTACTGAATCTCTTCTATTTTCTCCTCACAGCGAGCCTTCAGAAAGCTGCCTCTCCTTTCGACTGCCCTCCCTGAGCTCCGAGTGATGCTGGCAGAGCTGTGTCTTCTCGGCGCCTGAGGAAACAGAGGCCGCAGTGCATTCAGAGAAAGGACAGGTACAAACTTCCTGTTCTGACCTGATGTGATCAGAGCCTGTATCACGTCTACCCTGACCCAATTAAGCAAGACATATGAGCCTCACACAGGACTTAAGATGGCAACTAACAATCAGAATCTCATACAATTTGCAAATGCAGTTGGAAACTCACTAATCCCTAACGGCAATAAAAATCTTGTTGATCTGCATGGATCTTTAGTCAAAGCATGTGGTTTTAAGATCTGTGCCCTGGCATATCTGAGTGTGATGAGCCAAAGCAGCCACCAATGAGGCGTGCTCAGCAGTAAAATCAATGCGTTATCATGTAGAGGAATGAATGAACAAGCCATATGCGTATTAACGTGCCTAGACTTTGCTAAGCACTATAATACCAAAACGTATCACCAGTATTTACTTTCCAGTTCATAAAAACAAATACTGATAAGGGTCTATTAATGAAGAGCAATTTAAAGAAGTGAAGTCAGCCATTGCCATTATCTTCCTTCCTCTGACCTTCTATCAGACACTGATTTTAAAAGGACAAAATTATCCTATATCCTCAAATTAGTTATTCATCCAACTATTAAACAGCCTCATGGAATTAAGCTCTCTATTTTTTTAACATTCTAAGAATCTCTTCAAATCTCTTCATGCTCAGTAGAAACCAAGAGTGTCCTCTAAAGTAGAACTAGAAAAGTCCGGAAACCTACATTTTTTAATAGTATATACTTCCGGGGTGCCTGGGTGGCTCAGTCGGTTAAGCATCCGACTCTTGATTTTGGCTCAGGTCATGATCTCATGGTTCGTGAGATCGAGTCCCACACTGGTCTCTGTGCTGGCAGCACGGAGCCTACTTAGGATTCTCTGTCTCTGCCCCTCCTGCTTGCGCTCGCTCTCAAAACAAATAAACATTAAAAAAAAATCCAAAAAACAGTACACACTTCCACTTTGGTTTTCCACAAACACTTGTTTTAACTTAAAAAAGTAACATTTTCTGAATTAAAAAATTCTTTGTAATTGCCACAGGTACTCTAATTCCTAAAGGGCTGCATTAGGCTATCTCAAATCTCATGTACTTTGTTCTTCACCTCTTTGTGCAAGTATAAGATTTCCAAAAATCACGTTACCTATTCCCCAGTAAAAAGGTCCAATGTTTCTCAATAAAAGCACAGATATCTTCTTTCCATCGGAAATAACCTTGCCGTCCACTTCCTTCCAGAGACAAGTTATACATTGCCAGCATGACGACCTGGAACACAAACGCAACAAGGGCTGGGAGGCAAGCACGATTAGGGATGTTAACCTTCAGGGGGAAAAAGTTTGTTTTCTATTCTGAGTAGGAATGGTGGGGAACAGAGGGGGAAAGGGTGATATCTTGGAATACGCTCAGTATAGAATTTTATTTTCTGTTTTGCTTCCATTAGATGAATATCACTAATCCACTTAAGTATCTGCCGTTGTTCCTTACACGTTGCACATGCAGGGCTAATGTGTGGCTGAACTGATTATGATAAACAACGACTGTCCTATGCAAGCAACCTGTCCCGCTGCCCCACCCACCCACCCCGCTCCATGTCCTTCCATCTTATACAACGCGGCACTAGATATAGTGACAACTACTGGCTGTCAGGCATCCAGGTATCTGCTGCAGCCCACATTTTCTGAATGATGGTGCTAACCTTTATTTTGAAAGTCACCCCTGCCTATCTATATACTTTCCTAAGCTTTTTAGAGAGCAAAAACAAAGACTCTCAGAATTTCAAAGCTGAAAATGTTGGTCACCATCTACTCGGTGTTTAGCCATTTTTAGCTGCGGAAACCTTTCTTCTGATGAAATTAGCATTACTCTCAGAGCTCCAAGTGGAAACTCCTCATCTGGTCCAGCCTTGCTCGTCTACAGGTGATTAATTCATAGCCCGGAATTGGGAAGTGTTTTCCAGAAATATAAGTAACATGTGCTCACTGTAAAAGACTTCCATAATAGAAAAGCAAAGAAGGAAGTAAAAATCACTCTAGATCTGCCATCAAGAAACAATCACTTTTAACATGTTCAATGACTATCCTTTGAGGCATTTCTACTTGCATCTATATATATGCAATTTTGTCATGATGTAATTTCATGTAAATGAACAATACAAGCTATTTGAAACTACATTTTCAACCTAATGAAAATAATGATTGATTTGGGGCCACTGAAATTGAAAAAGGGACAGAGAATCTATGTAAGGAATCTAACTTAATTATTCTTTCCAGAAGGAACATCTGAAAGTGTAAGGAGGCTAGTAAACTGCAGTTCAGGCTCCCCAACCTCCGTGCTCACAGCGCGAGACCCTCAATGGTCCAAGGGAAAACCTCCAGCTCAAAGGGCCCAGTAATACCAACACTTCCACTAACCAAGCTCCCCCCTCCTTACACTTGTGAAACCTGCAGAAACCCCACCAAACAATTAATCCCATCGACGGATTTGTCAAGTCCTTCCACTCACTGTTGCAAAAGGTCTACATCAACTAACCAACAGCTTCCTTAAAAACTTATTGTCCATGAGGACTTACTATTCAACGGATATGGAGTTTCAGTTTGGGAAGATAAATATGTTTGGAGATGGACAGTGATGATGGTTGCAAAACAATGTGAATGTACCGAATGCCGCTGAATTATATGCTTAAATGTGGTTAAAATAGTAAACTTTCATGTTATGTATATTTTACCTCAATTTTAAAAGCTATTGTTCAAGAAATACTTTAAGGAAAGTCTGAAATCAGCTTCTTTTGCCTACTCCCAGACCCCTCGAGTACTTCAGACACACGTATTCACTGTTAATCTCGGCAGTAGAGACACTGTCTGCTACTTTATTTCTGGTACTTTTTTTGTATGTCTGAATTATTTCACCACTTTAAAAAGCTAAAATTCACACATTTACTTGAAAATAACTTTTTCTGTAACACTTAATATTTATTAAGCAAACTGCAAAATCTATGAAGGACATGGTTTTCCCCCTCCCCTGGAATCTGGAATCTTAAAAAAAAATGAATCCCAGTTCAGTTTTTCACTCTCACAAGAGCTTATCAGTGACAGAGTATCCCCAGGGCCCAGCTCGGGGCTGGCTCAGCCACAGTAGGCACTTCACAAGTACCCGCTGAAAAACACCTAGAAAAATAATGAGCACAGATCACGGTACGTGCTACACCTGCCATGTAAGAATAAGCATCCAGGATGAGAATATAACCACTATCCTATGCTTCCCAAACACATGATGGTTTCTCCCGCATTTCAAACTGCTGTTCGCAAGTCACTATGAGAAGAGAACACAAAAAAGAGCATGGAAGAAAGGTCAGGAGACCAGACCCTCTGTACTGTTGGTATTTTGTGGTGAAACAGGCATTTCTACTTATTACTTTGGTAAATCAACAAATATAAAGTTTAACATTTAAAAAGACAGAAACCCCACATTCCAATATAGTATTTGGTGACATCAATAGAATCTATAAAACACCATCTGATTTAGCTCTTTCTTGAGATGCTGGGGTTTTTATTTTTAATTTTTTTTTTTAATTCTTTTCATTTTATTTATTTGAGAGAGAGGGAGAGAGCAGGTACAAGTGAGGAAAGGGGGGAGAGGGAGGGAGACAGAGAGAGAAAGAGAGAGAGAGAGAGAGAGAGAATCTTAAGCAGGCTCTGCTTTCAGTGAGGAGCCCGACGCAGTGCTCAATCCCATGACCCTGGGATCAAGACCTGAGCCAAAATCAAGAGTCAGACACTCAACCGACTGAGCCACCCAGGCACCCTGAGGCTGGGTTTCTTAGAGGCAACTAGAAATACTGGTTAGTAGTTTACCAAGAACCAGACGTGTCTGATCTATCACTTCATCGTACCAAGGTATTATCTATCATCAATCCATCTTCTGGAAGTGAAAACATAATTTTCAAGTGATGTCAGCCTAATTAAATGTGCAAACTGAGCCAATATTGTATCTTCTGAGCAATATAACCAAAAGCCAGTTGTTCTCTTCAAAAGAACCTCTGCAAAAACTCATATTCTTGCCAATAAATTACGTATATTTGCTCTTCTTCCACTTTACAGCTTTTTGAGACGCTTACAGATCAAATGCAAATCTGCTGATGGGTATACACATGAGAATAATCTATTATATTAATCTGACCTTGCCTAGACACAATATCCCAGGTACACATTGAGAAAAACATCCCAATTACAATACGCATAAGACTATATCCTCAGTACAAACGTCCCTTCATTTTCTACTTGCATACTCTCGGCCAAGTCAAAAAAGGCTCCCTAAATTCACCACTGACAGATTTCATTAGCACATCTCCTAGTAAAGCACTGATAATTAATAGTCCAAGCTGCTAAAGCAACTGCAGTTTATAAGGAATACCTTAGTGGCTCAGATCATTTCATCCAAACTCTTTCTCATTTACCCTGTTTATTTCTTTCATAGCAAAAAAGTGCTATGGGTAATTAACTTGTTTATTTGTCTGCTTATTGTCTAAAATGTCTAAAATGTCAGCTGCCTAGCTATCTTCCTCATCACAGCAGTCTCCAGGCCTAGAATGACACCTGGTTCATCATGGGCACTCAATATTTGTTAAATGAATAAACATAAAAACTCAAAGTAATGTGTAATTCGTTCATTTTTAGAATTCAGACTATGGCCATTGGTACCTTGCAATAGACCTAGTTAGTAACATAAAAACAAACCAAAAAAATTAAGACAAGCTGGCGATCAGTAAAAAGCTATTGTTCAGGCTACAGTTAGCTTGGAGGAGGGGGCTGGTACTAGAGACGGCTAAAAGGTGGACGTAGCTATTCATCCCCCCAACAATATTCAAACATATCCGTGTTCAAACGCGGAAAAGCCAGATTACGTTGGCTTCTGCAATGAGCCACGTTATACTTTCCCAAACTATTTCCAACGTGGTCACCTTTACATTGTGCTAAAAACGGCTGCCAGAAAAATATGAACCTCATTGGGAATTCAATTAAAATCAGAGTCTGGCATCATATCCATGTGAAATTGTGTGTGTGAGGTTTTCGAGAATCTCAAACCTAATTCGCCACATTAGCAGGGAGTATTTTCACAAAGAACTCCTTTCTCCCTATACTTATCATTTTCATTGTGAAGCAAGGAGCGACCCTCAAAACAGCTCAAAAGCCTATGTGTAAGCTCCCTGTTCTCTGAATATTCATTCCAATGAATTCCTTGGGGGATTGACCCTGCAAATTCTAGGGGAAGAGCTTTTTACTCACTTGCTGCCATGTCAGTTTCAGCCTTTCATACTGCTCCTTGCCATCTTCTGAGCAATCGGAACAAGTGAATCTAAAAAAATTATCACCCTTAAGGTAACTGAGCTGTTCCCTCAGCTGACCTAGGAGAAAAACAAAAAAGCACATCACAGGTTTGTCTAGAGCAGCATTTATCAGTGTATCAACCAGATTTTCCACGCTTCCCATGTGTTCTTCCTCCTTTTCAGCTAACCCATGATAGCAGGACGGGAATAAGGAAAACAGAAGAAAAGCACAGAAGAAAAGCGTATGCCTATTAAGTGTATGCTTCCTAGCTTTTAGGAGAAAGATGCTGGAAAATCACGTTTTCATTGCTCTCACTGGATTTTCCAACTGTTAACATTCCTGACTCCTATGGGTCTCCACACACTCTTTCAAGATTATATGAGTTCCCACTGCATGCCAGGCACTGGCCTAGGAACCGGAACACAGCGCCCAAGATAGTCTGCTCTCGGCATTTTATAAGTTCTGAGGGCGACATACAAGGAAATAGGTAATCCTAATCGCACAACGGTTCTCCATCCTCACTGTACATCGGAATCACCCATGGAGTGGTTTTGTTTTTTTAAAAGATGCCTGGGCCTACTCACACAGAATGAATCAATCTCTAAAAGGGCGGGTCTGGGTCTCTCCATTTTCTAATGTTCCCCAGGTGATGCCAACGCTCTGGGAGACAGGACAACCACTGGAATGGAACGTGGTGTGTGCCACAGGGCAATGCGAGGGTACATAAAAGGGAGGCCCAACCCATACAAGGAAGATGGGAGAGCTAGAAAAAGTGGCATTGACAGGGGACCTGAAGGATGACTAGAATTGGCCAGGGGAAGAGGAGTGCCTATGTGAATGGCGGGAGCCCACGGAGGCTACAGAGACACATATTCCAGAGAGGAAATTAAAATGTGCAGAGACCTTGGTATAAGAATTTTTTTGTGGAGCATTAAAAGCTCACCCTAACTGCAAAGTTCTGGTAGTGTGGGGACAGGACATTGAGGAGAGACGCTGAGGAAGTTAGCAGGGACCCTATCGTGATGGACAGTTTAAAATGTATCCTTAGAGGACAAGGTGGAACGCCAGAGATTTCTCAGGCAGGGCCCTAAATCACTAAGCAGAAAGAGCTCAGAAGCAAACTCTAGCTAATGCATAGAAAGTTCTAGATTGTTTCCTATGAAACTGTTACTATTAATTAATAGTAACTGTTAATCTGAATAGTTAAATCCATCTTAAAAACACTTCCACATACCAGAAACTGACCCGTTTCAGCTGAAATTTCTCTGACCTAGTTACAAAGTATTACACAAAGAATTCCTCTGGTACCGATGTCTTTCCTAGTCTCTGCCGAATGGGAAAATCCCGTTTTGGTAAGACTCGTGATGGCTGCCAAAGCATGCTCCTTGAGAGCCAGGACACTGGCAGATGAAAAGATTAGCTGAAAGAGTGGGGTATCGGGGCAGCATGTGTATATATATCTGCCGCCAGCAGATCTAGGAGGCTAGCAAGCAGAAAACAAGAATGGTCCCAGAAAAAAAGCATAAAATATTTTTAATCTGCTAATTCTGACTTACTTCAGCATACAACAGCAGTTTTCCACGGAAGTTAAACATTAATAGAGTAACTTGAACTTTCGTTCTATACTGGGCCTAGTATTGGCCCCTAAATCCACAACGTGATCTTGTTAAACAATGTGGCTAATTCTTTAAATAACACAGGATTTCCAACTTTCTTTTATTGGGTTGCCGTCCAAAATGTTAACTTAACAATGTGAGAGGTTGACAGTAATTTTTATTAGCACAAATGTGTCTACGTTTTATATAAATCTGTCATTAACCAACTAAACTAATCATAAATATAATAATTATCTTTTTATTTAGGTCCATTGTACATTCATGTTTCGTTCACAGGTGAGAAAAACAAACCTTCACATTGGAACTGACAAATCAAAGGAATTGAGAAGCTCCTTACTGGCCGGTATCCATTTTTGGCACTTGTCACAGAAGTAGGACAGCTGCTCCTCCATCCAGGACACATCTCCTTCGTCACTGTTGAGGGAATCCCCACTCTGATCATGAGATAAGTCCACTGATGCCTGGTCCTCCGATTCAACGATCAGGAGAGTCTCCCCCTCCACCTCTCCCTCCTCCAGCCCTTCTGAGGTAGATGTTCTCGTGGCTTCATCATCATGCCGGCTTATCAAACTACTCAGGTGGATGTTACTATCCATCCCTTCCTCTCCCAGGCTCTCAAGTGCTTTTCACGAACAATCCTAAGCTCTGGACACCAGGCTTCAAGGGGCTTCTACCAGGATCACACAGACAGACAGAAACTCTTCACGAGAGTGTCTGCCCGCTTCTTTACTCAGAAGGGACTTTTAAGCAATCATTTAGAATACGTGATCCACTGTCTTTGTCTTTGGTCAAGTTTGAAAGGACAGTGACCAAAAAAAGGGTGAACACCTCACAAAGCTATTCTCCATCCACACTCACACACCCACACTCAACACTGTCCCATCAATATTTGGCATCCATTTCAAGTCATGTTTTTTGAGATCCTTTTGCCAGTAACATCTTCTCTCTTTCTGCTTCAAGTTGCTCAGTCAAAATAATCTGTTCTCCCAAGAGACGAATGTTTTCTTTTTTCCGATTCTGCCTCTCAATGTCTCTGATCACTCCATCGTGAAGCCTCTAAAAACGCAAGAAACAGATTTCAGTAACACCCAAACAGGTGGTTCCCTTCCTTGTGCCATTCAATCTGAGTAACAGTACTACCAAAATACACTGAAAACTTTGAGACTCCAAATACCTAATTACTATTTCAACTTTCTGCATAAATGTAAAATGTAACAAGCTATCAGATTAATTTGGTTGTGTGCTCCACCGGTGTTATTACTTAACATGACTTAACCATATTTTAAGAAATTCCTGAACATTCAGTATAGAAGCTTCATGGGAAATTAGAAAAAGAAAAGAAAAAACTGTTCCTGAGGTGAATTTTAAAAGTTTAATTGATATACAATGCTTTAAAAGATCTGGTGAGAATTACTACAGTAATTTTACAAACTACTTTCCTATTAGCAAGGATCCTAGCTGAATAATAAATATCAAAGAAAAAAAAGATTCCTGAAATTTAAACAAACTATCAGGATGCAAGAAAATAAAGATCTTAGCTTCTTCTAGTGCATAAGAAGAAGTAAAAATTGTACAGAATTACTAATCAATTACATGACTGAGAGAGACGGGAAAAATACAATGCTACTACCGGAGGAAAAAAGAAAGGTGGTAGGTACTTTGAGAAGCACTAAAGACAGGTCGAAAATTCCAGAACATGGACTTGGCACCTAAGATGAGACTTTTTAAAGCCTAAGTCCAGTCATTACTAATAACTGCCATTTTCTAGTTTTTAGGTCCCCAAATACTAATTTTTTTTTAACGGCAACCTTGTGAGGTAGAATTAATGGGGGTGGGGCCCAGGGCCTGGGGTTTTTTTGTTTGTTGGTAATCATTAGGTCTATTTTATTTTACTACTATCATCATTATTATTTTTAAGCGGGCACTATGCCCAGCACAGAGCCCAACAATGCACTTAAACTCACAACCCTGAGATCAAGAGTCAGATGCTCAACCGACTGAGCTACTGAGGTGTCCCTATTATGCCTATTTAAAGAAACTCGCCAAGTACCTACTTGCCAGATCTCCTCCAGACCTAGAGTTTCACTCACTATTATGGGGGGAACTGGGAAGTTTAAGAGTCCTAGAACAGATAACACAATTGAAAACCATCTTTTTTGGACCTTGCTCCTTAGCCAGATCTCCAGAGACATTTGGCTCCTCCCTCCCCAGTCCTTTGGGTCCTGTACTTCCTGTACCATGACACACCCATGCACACACCCCACCCCACCCCCAAAGCCCACACCATCCACTGGAATCATTCTTTCCATACCTGCCTCTGGGATCTTCCATACCTGATCTTCCTTCCTCAGACTTCAGCATATGGCTTAGGAACTTGCTTTCCTGCCATCATTGTAGTGCTACCTTCCTTCAAGTTGCAGTGTATGCCAACTGCCTGCAACTTGCACTTAGCTACCTTACTAATCACCTCTCTTACTAACCACCAAGACCTCTTCACCATTACTCATGTAGTACAACTCGTTTTGCTGGGTTCCTGTGAGGATTAATGTCAGTGGCTGACATGTGGTAAACAGTCAAGAAATGCTAGAAAACAACAGTCATTATTTTATTTCTTGCTTCCTTGAACCTTCCAACATACCCAATGTGTCAATCATTTGTCTTCTTCCTAGTGTAAAAAAAAAAAGTCCACTGAATGACTGGATGCAAAATAAACACAGGTTATTCCGGTCAATCTTTTCTTCATCTAATTTCCCAACACCTAAATCTTTGTTTTTCTACCCTCTAGTACAGAGATACTCAACCCCAGCTGCATGTTAGAATCCCCTGGGTGGCTTTTAACACATACGTGATCAAGATTCCCCATATCCAAGAGATTCTGATTTAAGAGGTCTGGAGTAAGTGACATTGTAAAAACGAGAGATGCTGAGTTAGTTCAGAACCAAGCTCTCATCCATCCCTACCCCATAGTCTGAAAATCTCTGCCTCCACTGACCTCAGAACTACATCTGACCATCCTCTACTCCACCTCAAATTTCTTTTGATCACCCTCTTTTCCTTTCACTTCTTAGAAGAGAAACTTGCCTGCCTCTATTCCAAAAGCTCCGCCCTCAGAACCCATACTTTGTTCCCCAATCTCTAACCTCTTCCATGTCCTCATTACTCATCCCAATAGCCCCTCCTCCAAATTCTTATACCATCACACCTTCCCGATTTCCAGACTGTGAACAAGGACAAGACCTCTTCTGCTTCATCTCTGTGTACCAAGCACACTGCACAGCCCAGTACGACAAAAGGCCATTTACTATTGATTCATCCAGTTCATTACTTCCACCCTTGGCAAAACTAAGCCCAACCCTAACGCACGCACGGACCTAGTTGCCTGTTCTCAACTTTCAGCACCGGTGTGAAGCAGTTACAAACTCAGGAACGCCCGTCCTTCCTATCTTTTGTTTCCCAAAGCGCCTAGTGTGGTGCCTGGCGCACACAGACCAATCACTAAACATTTGCCAACTAGAGTAAAAACAATATGAACTGACACACACACGGAACGGGCGGTCGGTCAACCGATCAGTAAGTTACAGATATTTCTAGAAATACAGGTACAGAAAAAAGAAAAATTGGAGGCTGGTATCTCTAATTCCCAGAATCTTGTTTCCACAGCATACTGTTTCTTAAAAGAAACAAACAAACAAACAAACAAACAAACAAAAAGCATCCACTAAATTACCTTGGCTAAAGGCAGAGAAAGTGGATTCGGGGCAGCCTCCTTAATCCTAGGATAAAATCTCATTAACACTGGAAATGAGATACATTAGGGTTGAGCCTCAACCTTGGGCCTGGGGTTGGGGAGAGGCCGACAACATGCTGAGTGCACCCCCCACGAAAACCCTTTCCCGCCTCTACTTTGCAGCGGCCCAAGCGACACGCTGAAAAGTCCGTGTCACTGTAGGCTGGAGGTGACCTGGGAACCGGGCCGCCCACCACCCTGCAGGCCTGCCTTAGCTGGAGCCAGGAGGCTGCGGCGCGGAGGGCAGGGGCTCCCCCGCGCCGGCAGGACGGG